TCTATCTATCTATCTATCTATCTATCTATCTATCTATCTATCTATCTCTATTTAATTTTATAGGCGGAATCTCACTAGGTAGCCCTGGCTGACCTGGAACTCAGTATATAGACCAGGATGGCCTTGAAATCAGAAACCTCCCTGCCTTTGCCTCCAGAGTGCTGGAATTAAAGGTATGCAGCTTTTGAAAGACTATCTGCATCATTGCTTCACTCCTACTTACTTTTATTTTAGGTAACAAGCCGATGGATTCCTCTCATAAATGAAAGAACAGACAAAGACAGCAGGTATTTTTTTTTTCTTTGTAACCTCTATTGAAAACTTCAAACTTGGAGAAAGATGTAAGAAACAGTAACAGACATAGCTGTAAAGCCTTACTTAGACCCACATTAGTTATTAATGTCTCACATTTGTTTTTTCTTTCAAATATTTATTTACTTATTTGTGTGTGTGTGTCTGTGTGTCTGTGTGTGTATATATATGCGCACACACATCTCAAAGGGTCACTTGCAGGATTTAGGGCTGAAGTAGTGAAGAGCACTTGTTGTTTGAAAAGACTCAGGTTGTATTCCCATCGTCCACATGGAGGCTCACTACCTCAGGCACCAGGCATGAGTGTGGTACATAGACATACATGCAGGCCAAACACTCACAACGTAAAATAATGAAAAACAAATCGAACCAGTGGTGATGGCAGAAGCTCATGTCTTTAAGCCCAGCACTTGGGAGGCAGAGGCAGGGTGGTGTCTGTGAGTTAGAGGCCAGCCTGGTCTGGTCTACAAAGTCAGTTCAAGAACAGCCAGGGGTATACAGAAAACTCCTGTCTTGAAAAAAACAAAAAACAAAAAAACAAAACAAAACAAAAAAACAACCAACCAACCAACCAAATTTAAACAAATAATATTAATAATAAGATTTAGTTCCCTCCTTTTATTATGTTGGTTCCAGGATGGAATTGAGGTTTGCCAGGAAGTGCTTTTCCCTGCTGAGCCATGTTTATAATGGACTTACCAGTTCCTTTCTGTTCACTTACCTTCATATATCACCACATACCTTTTGTGGGGCAGGAGTGATTAGAAACAATAAATATATTTGAGAGCAAATCAGGAAATGTCTCTGGTGCTATAATGGTTACTGACAGATAAAATAGTTTAGTAATTTTACATATTGTTCAAGAATTGCTACTGGAGTCTGTTTGGGAGTCTGTCTTTGCATGTTTTGTGTGCCCTCTCCTGAGCTGCTGCTTTAATGAGGTGTGGAAATGCTGATTGCTCATAATGCACACTAGGCAGAGCAAAGACTTGGAAAATGTTGAGCAACCTTTGAGATCTGGTTTGGCCACTTAGAAACTGTAGCCTCTGACTTCATAGGACTCTAGTTTCCTCATCTGTAACAGGGATAAAGGTAATATTTATCCTAGATGCATATGGGTGTATCCGAGAATTAAATTAAGTAGCTTATATATAACTTCTCTAAATACTCTGTAAATCTTCAGTTAGAAATTCATGTAAGGAGGTTCTGTGCACTCCTTTGGAAAATACAAGCGTGATAGGGAAAAAAAAGCAAGAGAACCCATTAATTTTCTAAGTAGAATGATAGTTCTCTGAATAAATGTTTTCAGTTTTAAGTCAAATGAAAATATTTTTCTTCTAATGTTTAATTGGATAAAAATTATTCTTATTATTTATTATATGTCTGCCTCTGCCTCCAAGTGCTGAGATTAAAGGCATGAGCCACTACCATCTGGCTTTAACCCTTTTATTTTTTTTGAGGTAGAATTTTCTTTGTGTGTAACTTTGGCTGTCTTAGAGCTCACTTTGAAGACCACACTGACCTCATACTCACAGTTTGCCTGCTTCTGCCTCCTGAGTACTGAGATTAAAGGTGTGCGCCACCATTGTCTGACTTAAAACATTTTGAATGATTTATTTATTCATTTTTTATGTGCATTGGTGTTTTGTCTGTATGAACTTGTAAGATCCCCTGGAACTGGAGTTACAGACAGTTGGGAGCTACCATGTGGGTGTTGGGAATTAACCTGGGTCCTTTGGAAGAGCAGCCAGTGCTCTTCTCTCCAGGCCCTAAGGAACCTTTCTTCTTCTTCTTTTTAATGCCTGTAATTCTTAGAAGAGTGTGTAGCTTAAAACAGTCTATGAATGGGTGTTGACTGAATGCATGAACCTACTATCTGGAGTCCTTGGCTTGACTGTAGTAGAAAAGTTACACTGGGAAGATTAGATAAAAACTTTAATTAGATCAGGTGATGATATAAGGTAAAATAGAAATCTGACATTTTTTGTTTTCTTTATTGCATTCATGCCGTATTTATTTCAGGCTGCCTTTGATATTAGTTGGGAACAAATCTGATCTGGTGGAGTACAGTAGCATGGAGACCATTCTTCCTATTATGAACCAATACACAGAAATAGAAACCTGTGTGGAGGTATGCTTCATGCTTTAATTTGGAAATATGTTGTTGGTGAATGCTTCAACATTTGAGACTTTGAATGGGAGGGGAGATTATGGGGGATGGAATCCATTTTCTGTTCTTTGTGAAGTCATATAAACCAAATAAAACAGAGAACTTAAAGAGTTTTCTTCTAACACTCTATGGAGACCTTGGTACTATCTACAAGGGAAAATGTGTTTTTCAGTTTCTCCAAGGCATCTTATTCTTACCTTAAATTGGCTTTTTTCCCTGCCACGCCCCTACCCCCCTTCTAGGCAGTGGATGTAGATGTAGTAGGAAAAAGTAAGAAAACCTTTTGAGAGTGGGAGAGGTTCCAAGAGAGGAATATCCTATGTTAACATTTTTTTTCCAAGTGAATACAACTTTATTATGAAACAGTGTCATCATTCACACTTTAAATGCTTATTTACAATATAGGATTTGTTCATTTTCTTTTCAAAAATGATTGGGGAATTTTAAATTATTTTTAGTTTTAGACAACTGTCATGCCATCTACTTTTCTTTTTTTATATTTTTAATTTTATTTTTTTTATATTAATTACAGTTTATTTACTTTGTATCCCAGCTCTATCCCGCTCCCTCATTTCCTCCCAATCCCACCCTCCCTCCCTCATCTCCTCCCTGCCCCTCTTTAAGTCCACTGATAGGGGAAGTCCTCCTCCCCTTCCATCTGACCCTAGCTTATCAGGTCTCACCAGGACTGGCTGCAGTGTCCTCCTCTGTGGGCTAGCTATGCTGCTCCTCTCACGGGGGATGGGGAGGTCAAAGAGCTAGCTAGCCACAGAGTTCATACCAGAGACAGTCCCTGTACCCCTTACTAGGGAAGCCTCTTGGATACTGAGCTGCCATGGGCTTCATCCAAGAAGGGGTTCTAGGTTATATCTATACATGGTCCCTGGTTGGAGAATCAGTCTCAGACCTATGTTAACATTTTAAAATTGTTTTTATCTATCATAATTGATTTCAGAATATACAATTTAAAACTTTTTTGTTTTGTTTGTTTAGTGTTCAGCAAAAAACCTGAAGAATATATCAGAGCTGTTTTATTATGCACAGAAAGCTGTTCTTCATCCTACAGGGCCTCTGTACTGCCCAGAGGAGAAAGAGGTAACCCTAGGCTGTGTTCTTTGGGACTGAATGATATAGGCATTCCGGTACGGTAGTGGATTTTAGTAATGTTTAAGTTTTTATAAAGAGGAGGCTAGTGAAGTTGAATTGTGTAGCTTATTAGATTGTGAAATTGAGTGTTCTGGTTCAGTGACACTGACATTGTGTCTTCATAGAGTTTCCTGATTTAAGTATTCATTCAGGTAGTGACTGACACAGATGTGCAGTTCTAACAAAACAACCAAGACTCCATTCATGGTTTACTTACTTTGCAGCTGTTAATTTTATGAACTTTTTTCTTAACTTCCATTTGTTTATTTTGTGAGGTAGGTGTGTGCCATGGCATGCCTGGAGGGGTCAGAGAACAGCTTGTGAGAATTATTTCTTTTTTAGCCTCACTATTTGGGTCCTGGGGGTCAAACTGAAGTTGTCAGGCGTGATAGCAAGTATCTTTACCCACTAATTTATCTCACCAGCACTGAAAATCTATGAACCAAAACAAAAACTTCAGTAGTTTTGTTTGCTTTGTTTTATGTCAGTAATTAGTCTCAGGGTCTTGTACATAGTACAAGTGTGCTATTACATTCTCAGGCCTCTTGTAGTTTTTTGTCCTGGGTACATGTAATGCAACTCGAACGTACTCTTTTTCATAACTAAGAAATCCTGTTGAGAAATACTCAGGATTTAACAAAATTTTGGTGTAGATTTAAAACTGATTTTTTAGATGTATAACACAAAAGCTCTTGTCTTTCAGGCATACAATTAAATGATGTTTAATATGCTCAGAAAGTTATGCACCTCTTACCTAACTCCACTGTCATATCATCCCCCAGGGAAACCCTGTAGCCATCAGCTTCACTCCCTCCCTCTTTGTCCCACTTCTAGTCAAACTGTTTCTTCTAGTTAAGTAGTTCTAGTTTCATCATATGGAAGTAACCACTCTCATTTCTTTATCTTCTGATGTCTGCTGACATAGTTTCCTGCTGTTCAAAATGGGCTGCTGGCTGTTGTTGTTAGCTTGTTCACTGCAAGTTTTTTTCTTCTTTGTTTTTTGAGACAGAGTTTCTCTGTGTAACAGACCTGTCTGTCTTAAACTCACTTTAAAGACCAGGCTGGCCTAGAACTCACAGTTTGCCAGCCTCTGCCTCCCAAGTGCTAGGATTAAAGGTGTGTGCCACTATGCCCAGCCTGAGGTGCTCTTCCCCACCCCCTCAAGACAGGGTTTCTCTTGTCTAACCTTGGCTGTCCCCGACTCACTTTGTAGACCAGTCTGGCCTTGAACTCACAGAGATCTGCCAGCCTCTGCCTCCTAAGTGCCGGGATTACAGCTGGGTGCAGTCATGCATGCCTGTAATCTTAGCAGTCAGGATTTTTTATTTAAAAAATAAACATTTTAGAGGACGAGAAAGTTGGCTCAGCAGTTAAGAGTACTTCCCTGGCTTTCAGAAGTCCTTAGTCTTTGGCCTTTTCAGGCACTCACATGTGCATGGCATGTAGACAGACAGGCACACATAAATAAATTTAAAAGTAATTTAATAAAAATTTGCAGTTTATGATATTATTGAGTAATTGGCAAGTTGAGACCCATTAGCCAAACTTGACCTACACTTAATTTTTGTACAACCTGTGAGCTGTAAGTACATTTTATGTGTTTTTGATAATTGAAAACATCAAAAAGAATTGTATTTGTGATATATGAAAACCATGTTATATTCAAATTGCGTATCAGCCATCCGTATCTGTTTACAGCTGTGGCAGCTATGAGCAGTCTGAGCATTACTGCTGTTTGGTACTGTCCAGCTCACCTGCTGTCTAGTGCACAGTGCCACACCCCATTGTACAAGACAAGCACAGGGAGATCGCCATTAGCACTCACAGTTCCTAACCCTAAGCTACAGTTGTAGCTTTGTTCTTTAGGCTTTGATGCAAGTCCAAGGAAATTTTCATAGTTCATAGTTCTGTAGTTGGTTTCCTCACAAACCTGTAGCTGGACCTGATGAGTCTGTGGTGTCGTCACATCCTAAAATGCAGACAGACACCAAAGTTGAGTCTAAAGCATCTCTAAAGATGCCTTCCAGGGGATGGATTTCCCAATTAAAATCTTGTTTGTAGGCTAGTGTGATGTTTCATTGCATAAAGACCTTGCCACTAAGCCTGACTGCCTGAATTCAGTCCCTGGGACCCGCATGGTGGAAAAAGAGAACCAGCCTTTGAGGCGTGTCCTCTGACCTCCATGCATGGGCTGTGGCACAGTCAGGCGTCCCGTCCCCCAGTAAAGAAAGAAAGATAATATAAAAACAAAAACATTTGTGCAGCCAGGTGTGGTGGCACAGACTTTCAGTTCCAGGACTAGGGAGGCAGAGATAGGATCGCTTGAGTTGGAGGACAGCCTGGTCTACAGAGCAAGTTCTAGGATAAAACAGGACTATGTAGAGTTTGTGAAACAAAACAAAACAAAAATATAAGTAAAACAAAAACATGTTGTGGGTATATGTCAGTATTTGGCAGGATAGATCGGTACCAAAAAAAAAAAAAACCTTTCAAAAGAGGACATATTGCTGATCATTGCAGATCAGCAGTAATAGCTCATCTTCCTGTGGAGAACATGACTTTGAGTCCCAGTGTAGTAAAATTCAAGCCCCTCTGTAGAATTCTAATTTTACTGGAACTTGCTCTGTTGACCAGGCTGGCCTCAACTCAGAGATGCATCTGCCACTACTACCCCTTGACAAATTATATTTTCTTTAGTGACCTGTGAAATTACACTCACTTGTTACTATATCAACTTCTTAAATGCTGGCAGTAAAAAGGGAATGCACGCTATGTAAATAAAACCCATATGCCATCTGTAATTTCGCATAGTTGGCTCCAAAGCTTAAAATACTTGATGTGTTCAGACCCCTGGTAAAGCTAATTAGTCTTGACTTGTTCCTTAATCTGACTGTGGTTTCTCTTCTTTTTTCCTGGTTTAGAAAATATTTCAATTATAGGAACTTCTCTGTGAGGCCTTTACCCCAGTGATATTCCCTATTAGTTTATTCTGAATTCTTTAACTGTTGCTCTGTTCTTAGGCCTATTATTAATTCTGCTAATCCGCTGATCCCTTGCCCTTCCCCCCTTCCCTGAGTAAAGCCTCGACAAGACACCATCTGCTACTCAGTTCTCAGGTACATCTAAGTAATAACGTAACATAAAATTTCAGCTTTGACACTGTGTTGTTTTATATGTGTACAGGCTTGAAGTCTAAGCTTATACCAGAATTTTTTCCAGTGATACAGAAAGGATTTTATGACCTTGAAATTCTGAGTGTTGTGAGCTCGCCTTAAAAAATGTAGTAACAGTACCATGCCCTTGACTTTTGTCCCAGACAAAAGAGGCAGTTGAATCTGTGTGAGTTGCTCTACAACTCACAGTGAGTGAGTTTCAGGACAACCAGGGCTACACAGAGAAACCCTATAAAAAAAAGTAAATAAAACAAATGAAAGGTAATAATAGTAATCAGATGGAATATAAGTAATGATATGCTTTTTCATCAGTCTGAAATGCTTCAGAAACTAAAGTGCTCTAATAGGATTTTTTTCCTTTGGAGCGGGGCAAGGTCTTACTTTGTATCCAAGGCTGGAAATTCTGTTTTGTATGTCATTCTAGCTACTGCTATTTTTTGGAAATATTTAGATTATTGAATGATTCTGTGTGTGTGTGTGTCAGTTTGTAGGGTAGTATAGTGAGTTACAGTGCTAGTATGTGCGTATGTGTGTGGACATATGTATGGAGCCTGGACGGGGGGAGACATTGGGTGGTTTCCTCAGTTGTGCTCCACAGTAGTTTTTGAAACAGTTTCTCCCTGAAGCCTAAGCTTGCCAATTCGGCTGTGCTGGCTGGCCAGCAATCCCCCAGGTTCCTCCTGTCTCTACCTTCCCAGCACTGGAATTATAGCTCCAGCCACAGTGCCTGGCTTTTACATGCGTGCTGGGCATTGAACTCAGGTCCTTGTGCTTTCACAGAAGGACAACAAAATATAACAATGTAATCTTTATAGTCCATTTTATATCCTTATGAAAGAAGCCCTAGCCAGTGCTCTCTAGTTGAAGTATTTTTCTCATCTTTCTAATCTTTTTAAATTGTTCTCACTATATCAAGTAACTCTCCCAGAGAGATCATGTAAAACAACATAAGATTATTGTAAGAAAATTCTCTCTCTCTCTTTTCTTTATTATTAAGAATTTCTCTTTTGGGGGGCTAGAGAGCTAGCTAAGAGCTATAGCTCAGTTCCTGGTACTCACATGTAGTGTCTCACAGCTGCTGTAGGGGCAGCCAATACCTACACTCATGTGCTTCCACTACATACAAATACATACAATTAAAAAGTAATAAAACTTTATTCAAAGTAGTTTTTCTTTTTTCCTATTTGTTTGTATATATGCACATGAGTGTGTGTGTGTCTGTAGGTCACAGGATAACTTTTGGGAGTTGGTTCTTTTACCATGTTAGTCCTGATGGAACAGTATCTTTTAGTCACCTGTCTTAATTGTTTCTTACTGCCGTATCTGCTAACCTAGGCCTCCTCATGGAATCTTCTAGCCTTCACACAATCTAATCTAGACTTAGAATGTTTTCAGCCTCTGAGACTTAGTGCTGAATAAGCTCATACCTTCTAGTTCTTTCTGACTCTTGCTGGCTGGTTCAACGCAGCTGTCCTGTCCTGGGTCAAACTCCTCTCTAACATGACTGATTCAAACTGTCTTTTCTCTTGGCCTCTGACTGAATTGTTCTGCCTGGCCTCATTCTAACTTCAGCAATATGTTCTAATCTTCTGGCGTCTTCTCATTCTCTGGCTTGTTCTGTCTTCACCTGTGCTTTGCTTGTTCTGTCAAGATGGGAATCTAAGAAGGAGGATTTCCATAAGCAGACAATAGACCCTGTCTCAAACAAGTTAAAAGACGAGGCCTGACAACCAAAGTTGTCCTCTGACTTCCATGTGTTAGCACCATGGCACACACACAAGAATTGGTTTTTAAAGTTAAAAAGAATTGAGGAGATGGCATAGTATAGAATGTTTTGCCCAGCAAGTTATAGGTTCAGTCCTCTGTACAAAAAAAAAAAAAAAAAAAGTAAATGCTTTTACACTTTAGTTCATTTCTTCATGTTACCAGTTTTTTGATGTTAAATGAAAACTATCAGAAGCTTTCTTGGTGTTGTGTGTGAAATTTGTATATTAAAAATTTATTTTGTTTCTTTCCTTCCTGTTGTATAGATGAAACCAGCGTGTATAAAAGCCCTCACTCGTATATTTAAAATATCTGATCAAGATAACGATGGCACTCTGAATGATGCTGAACTCAACTTCTTTCAGGTAGCTGTCTTACTACAGCTTAAACAACAAGAGCCGCACTAGTAAATCTTAAGATATAAAAAGCCTCTTATTCCTACGACTGGAGACTTTTTGGTAATTTGCTGTCTTGGTATTCAGTGGGTGTATGAAGGATGATGAACTGTAAATAACTTTGCTTTCTGGGTTTTGTGTTGTGACCACACAAAGAGCTTTGTGTTTCTAAAACAGAGTGAGGAGTACTGCCAGTTTTTCTCTTCAAGTATAACACATTTCACTTAAATAATAGGAAATATAGATGGCACTAACTTGTTTCTTTTGGTAGTTCTAGCTCTTTGATTTTGTGTTACACTTTTTGTGAATTTACATTCTGGTTTGTTTTAAAATGTATTTTATTTTATGTTTTTGCTAGAGAATTTGTTTCAACACTCCTTTAGCTCCCCAAGCCCTGGAGGATGTCAAGAATGTGGTTAGAAAGCACTTAAGCGATGGTGTGGCTGACAGTGGGTTGACGCTAAGAGGTAGGAAATGGTGTTTTTCATCACCTTCTCCCCAAGTGCTGGGCTAAGCCAGGGCCTTACTCACGCAAAGTGAACATTCTGCCACTTAATTGTATTTCTAGCTCATTTCCCACCCCTTTAAATTTAATATTTTCAAATAGAATTATTTATACATTAAGGAAATGTCAGTATTAGTGAGAGATTATTATCTTCACCATCACTATAAATTAGAGGCAGGGAAACTAGTTAGATCAGACATACAGAGATCTACATGAAGGCAAGATACATGTAGCAAACATCTTATTACTCATAAGCAATCTTTTGGAGAAAATTACTTCTAGGGGCTGTGTATATGAGTCAGATTTACCAATTATAGTGTTCATTGTTGAGTATATTGCTAAGCCGTGGTATAATAAAAAAATGAAATTAAAACTAGAATTTTCTATTATAGAAGTAAGCCAGGAGACCTGTACATCGTTCTTGTTTGTTTTCATCAAGTAACCCTGGCCGCCAGTGTGCTCCTTGGGATGTAACTTTGTCCCTTTTGTCCATGGCTTGCTCTTGCCAAGCTGGGTGTTTATGGAAAATGGGTTGAACAGCCGGAGACTGTTCCTCACCGCAAAACTAGTCCAGGAGTTCTCACAAACCTAACTCACATTGTATGCTTTTCTCGCTGGCACAGCCACAGTGTTCACATCAACTGTATTTACTGATTTACTTTATTTCAGGTTTTCTCTTTTTACATACACTTTTTATCCAGAGGGGGAGGCATGAGACTACTTGGACTGTACTTCGGCGATTTGGTTATGATGATGATCTGGATCTGACGCCTGAGTATTTATTCCCCCTGTATGTACCTTAGCTTTCTCATTTATTTCACTTGCCAAGTGTTTTTTAAGTTTTACTTAGTATATGCATACTTTTTAAGTGTCTTGTGACTGATTTAGAATTATAGGCAGTTTCTCAACTTTGGCTCTCTGAACATTTTAGAACAGAGAATTTTTTGAGTCTCTCTATTACGTATCTCTGGCTGTCCTGGCACTCATTCTGTATACCATGCTTGCCTGGAGCTCAGAGATCTGCCTGCCTCTGCCTACCAAGTGCTGGGATTGAAGGTGTGCGCCACCACCGCCCAGCCAGAAAATTACTTACTGTGTGTATTGTCCTGCCCTCCCTAATATACGATGGTGAGCGGACCCTTAAATGACAGCAGTACCTCTTCTTCCAGTTGTGACAAGCAAAAATGTCCTCTCCTAAGCATTGTTCACAGTTGGTGACCAGTACTTAACATAGCGTAAATGCTTTATTTATCTATTTACTTAATTGAAATTTTTTTTGTTGCTTTAAGTCAGGTTCTCGCTGTGTAGACTAGGCTGGCCTTGAACTCACAGAGATCTGCCTGCCTCTGTTTTTCAAGTATTAAGATTACAGATTTGTGTCACCGTATCCAACCTTACAAATCTTTTTAAAAACTTTTATTGATGATAGAGGAAAAAAAGATACCAGGTTTAGAGTCAAAAGATGGGAAAACTGTTACTTAACATTTCCCTCCTGTTCTTTCTTCCCCTTTACTTTTATGGCTTGTGTTTAGTTCACATTAAGTTTTTTTTTTTTTTTTTTTTTTCCTAAACAACTGATATATTTGTTGTTATTTTCCTTTGGTAGTGCTGTTTGAGTCTTATGTGTTTAAATGTGGGCTCAGTGATGCCCTCCCAGGAGAGACTGCTGGTCTTGGGCACTTCTTCTCTTCTTTTGGGAGTTGTGGCCCGCCATAATTGGGCCTTGGCATCTTCTGGCCTTTCTTCCTTACCTTTCAGTCGTAATATTACCTGTTTAAGAATTACACCTCCAACTGTCTGTGTACTGATTCAGAAAAAAAGTTGTTCTAACCTTTTCAGTTGTCAAGGGGCCAGAGTATTTTTCTAACCAGATTCTTGGTCCATTGATGTGTTCTAGTTTGAAACGTAAGGAACTGAATGTTGGCTAAAATTCAACAAGGTTTTTGAATACGTACATACTGAGTGAATAAGTTTATCCTAGGATCTTCCACAAAGGTTTTGTTTTGTTTTGTTTTTTTCCTATGTCATTTATGTGGGTGATACATTCTGCAGATTATTATTACTGTAGGGGACTATGGGTACGCATGAGCGTGAGTCCACAGGCAGAGTTTGGATGCACTGCTTCATCACCCTCCTATTCATTTGAAACATGGTTTCTTACTGAACCTAGAGCCAGTCTGGCAAGCTAGCAAGCCCCTTGATACTGCTGTCTCCACCCACTCCCACCCAGGCACTGGGCTTACAGGTGCCTATGTTGCCACATCCAACTTTCATGTGGGTGCTGGGGATTCGAACCTGTAAAGGACCTTTGTGGTTCATGTCTCACTTGCATGATTTCTTAGAATTAGGGAGTGGTAAGTATAATAAAACCAACCAACCAACCAAAAAAACAAATAGTGAAGAATGCGGAGGAGTGGGAATTCTGACGCAGTGTTGGTAGCAACACAAATGAGTACATCCATTGTGAAAACAGTGTGAAGGTCCCTCAGAGACCTAAAATAGAGTTTTGTATGACCTGTGTGACCCAGCATTCCCACTACTGATTTCATGAGTAACAGAAATGGAATCATCGGAGAGATAACTGCATTTACTTGTTTACTCCAGCACTGGTCATAAGAGCCACAACATAGAGTGACTTATGGGTGAATGAGTTGTTTTTAAAAGTTGGGGCTGTGGGGGTGGAGAGATGGCTTAGCGGTTAAGAGCAGTGGCTGCTGTTCCAGAGAACACGGGTTCAATTCCCAGCACCCACATGGCAGCTCACAACTGTCTGTAACTCTAGTTGCAGAGGATCCAACACCCTCATACAGATGTACTTGTAGACAAAACACTAATGTACATTAACTAAATAAATAAATGATTTAAAAAAAAAAAGTTGGGGCTGGGTAGCTCAGGTAATAAAGGTGCTTCTCACGAAAGCTGGTTACCTGAACTCCAACATCAGAATCCACATGAAGTTGGAAGGCTAGAACTGATTCCACACACTTGTCTTCTGACCCCCACTACATCTGTACCCACATTCAACACACGCACACAATAAATAAATAAAAATTAAAGTGCTATATAAATATTCCTTAATGGAATGTTTATTCAACCATAAAAGGATGAAATATTTTTAAAAGTTTTCTTTCATGTGCATGAACATTTGCCTGTCTGTTATGTACATCACGAGTGTGCCTGTTGCCCATGGAGGGCAAAGGAGAGTGTTGGATCCCTTGGAACTAGAGTTACAGATAATTCATGTCGGTGCTGAGAACTGAACCCAGGTCATAGAAGAGAACAGCCAGCCAGGCGTAGTGGTACACACTTGTAATCCCAGCACTCAGGGAGGTAGAAACAGATGGATCTCTGTGAGTTTTAGGCCAGCCTAGTCTAGGGAGTTCAGGACAGCCAGGGCTAAACAGAGAAACCTTGTCTCTGAAAAGAACAGCTACTGTTATTAACTTTTGAGCCTTCTCTTTAGCCCCAGAAGGATGGATGACATCTTGTTACCTGTGGCAAGGTGACTGGAACTTGAGGAACTTGAGTTTAAGAACACTAAACTGTGGTTAGTGAAATAGCAGATGTGGAAGACACACGCATGTCCTTACTCATTCATAGTTGCTTAAATATTTGATCACAAATAAGCAAGTAGAGGAGAGTGAATAGGGAGAGGGTGTTCATGTGCACCGACACAGACTGCTATAAGAAAGAAAGTCTGGTATTCTATATAGCAGAGTAGTATAACGAGTCACTGGTGAAAGATGTCTAAAGGTGTCTACACATAGACGTGATGGTATTTGAGGGTATACAAGACTCAGTTACTGTGATTTTATCAGTATATATCCTATCTAGGTAAGATTTTTTTTTTTCCTTACTACTAGCCTGAAACTCACTTTGTAGACCAGTCTGGCCTTGAATTTACAAAGATCTGCCTGTCTCTGCCTACTTTTGCTGGGATTAAAAGTGTGTGCCACTACATTTACCATCAGATATGAATTTATAATCCTGTATTCTATAAACAAACACAAATATTACATGCCAGTTGTCATAGTCGGGGTTACTATTGCTGTGATGATACACCATGGCCAAAGCAACTTGGGGAGGACAGAGTTTATTTATTTGGCTTACACTTCCACATCACAGTTCATCATCAACAGAAGTCAGGACAGGAACTCAGGCAGGAACCTTATGCTTAGGCCATAGGGGGTGTTGCTTACTGGCTTGCCCTTTCTGCCTTGCTCAACCCGCTTTCTTATAGGCCCTGGAACCACTCAGGGGTGGCATGACCTCCATCAGCCACTAATTAAGAAAAGTCCCCACCAAGGGATCCAAAGAATCAGGCTTGCTTATAGCCTGATTTCTGGAGGCAGTTTTCCAGTTGAGGCTCTCTCTTCTCCAGTGGCTCTATTATGTCAAATTGACATGAACTAGCCAGCATATCTAAAAATTAAAATGAGTCAGGTTTGATGGTACATGCCTATCATCTCAGCAGTTGGGAGACTGAGACAGAATTCAGAGTCCAGGGTCAATTTGGGCTGTGTAGTTCCAGGCCAGCCTTGTCTTAATAGTGACTTCCTGTCAGAAAAACAAATGAATAGACAAACTCCAATATTGGCATAATTTTTAACTATTTTATTTCCATTTCTTATATCTTTTTCTCCCTTCTCCACTGCAATACCTTCTAATACCCCCAACAACAGATAGGAGAGAAAGGTTTGTGGGGAGAAGGGCATAATGTTCTTTAGCTACTTCCTGCTGGTTAGGGTCGTTGAGTTCCTTGTGGAAAGTCCAGTCTTCATTTTAGGGTCTCTCTGACTTCTCACACTGCGTCAACAGCGATTGGGGAGCACCAGCTGCTCTCTTCTCTCTTGGAGCTCCCTCAACACTGTCTGGGCTCTGGCCTTTATTCCCTCTCAGAGTCCTTAGAATTGACTTGCTTCAGGTGGGAAGGAGTCCCTTTCAGAGCCCACACAAGGCAAATATTTTGCTGCTGTGGACAGTCTGAATCAGTCCTGTATCCTATAGCGGGGATCAAAACAAAAACATTTACATCCACAACACTCCAAAGCAGTACATAAATAAAATAAATTTTTAAAATTCTGATGTAGGACACATATTTTTGGCTTTGTCTTTCTAGCACCTAGCTTACTGCATTTGACATTTGTTAAGTAATATCTCCATATTATTTTCAACTCATTACAATGCTGCCATTAATATTGAGCCCATAGTTGTGACTTACACCATTGAGTATATATCTATATCTATATCTATATCTTATTTGTTTGTTTTTCAAGACACGGTTTCTCTGTGTATCTCTGGGTGTCCTGAAACTCACTCTGTGGAGCAGGTTGGCCTCGAACTCATGAGATCCTTCTGCTTCTGTGCACCACCACAGCCTGGCTCATTGAGTGTATTTTTATATACTTATGTACCACCAAAAAATGAAAACTCCAGACAGAGTTAGAACTAGAAAAACAATTAGCTTTATGTTCATTACTTGCATTCAGTCCTTTTTCATCCCCTAATACTGACCATTTCTTGTACTTCTTTCTGTATGCTACATTGAACTCACATGTATATTTGCATATATATATATATACACATATACATATATATATGTGATAGGCTAAGAATTCAATAATAAAAGTGTAAATATAATATGAAGTTCAACAGCTACAGAATGGCTGCTTTTGTTTTGTTTTCTAATGATTTTATAGGCATTGTTTTTTGCCTGTATGAATATCTGTGTGAGGGTGTCAGGTCCTCTGGAACTGGAGTTACAGATGGTTGTGAGCTGCCATATAGGTGCTGGGAATTGTACCCAGGTCATCTGGAAGAACAGCCAGTGCTCTTAACCACTGAGCCAGCTTTCCAGCCCTTGTTCTGTTTTTGTTTTGTTTTTCTCGACACAGGGTTTCTATGTGTAGCCTTGGCTGTCATGGAACTAGCTCTGTAGAGCAGGCTAGCTTAGAACTCACAGAGATAGACCCTCTGCCCTCTGCCTCCTTTGTGCTACTACCAGAATGGCTGTTTTAACTGTATAGAAATTGACTGAGCAGTATAGATTTTGGATTTGGCTAATTTCACAGTGTGGTGCTTTTTTAAATTGTTTTTATTTCATGTATATGAATGTTTGCCTGTGTGTATATATGTGTACCTAGTGACTGTGGAGGCTGGAAGAGGGCAGTGGATCTTCTGGGACTAGAGTTACAGGCAGCTATGATCTGCTGTATGGGTGCTTGGAACCAAACCCAGGTCCTCTGCAAAAACAGCAAGTGCCCATAACCTCTGAGCCATCTCTTTAGCTTCTGTTTTGTTTTTTGAGACAGGCTCTTACCTTGTAACCCTGCCTGGCCTAGAACTTGCAATGCAGACTAGGCTGGCCTTGAACTAACAGAGATTTGCCTGACACTGCCTCCCTCATGCTAGAATTAAAGGTGTGTGCCACCACACTTGGTTATATGATGTGTTTTATTTACAAAATTCTTTATAATAAAGTTTTAACAAAAAAGTATGACATTTTGTGTATAGTAAAAACAATACAGTTACCATTAAGTAGTATTCTTCAAGCCATCGACTTGCTTTGTTTTTGAGGAAGGATCTCCCTGAGATCACAGTTCACGGTTAAATTAGATGGGCTGCTCTTACAGTGTCAGGGATCTGCCTCTCTCTGCCTGCCTCTTCAGGGCTGTGATTATGAGCACACGCCTGTCTTTCCATCTGTGTGCTGGAGGTTGAGCTCAGGTTCTCATGCATTTTGGAAAGCACTTTACTTAATGCAGCTTCCCCCAGTCCCTACCTTTAATAGTTACTTACTGTGTGTGTATGTCGTAATCTATATCTAGTGTGAGCAGAGGGTTATAGACGCTTGCAACATCTTTTGTCCCTTGTTTTTTGTTTTCTTTTGTTTTGTTTTTCAAGACAGGCTTTGTCTGTATAACCCTGCCTGTCCTGGAATGCTCTGTAGACCAGGGTGGCCTCAAACTCAGAAATCCATTGTGTCTGCTTCCTAAATTCTGGGACTAATGGTGACCACTACTTGGCTGGCCTCTGTTACTTTAAACGTTATTTCATGGATTCACACTTAGGTTGTCAGGCTTGCTCAGCAAGTGCTTTTAGCTGCTCAGTCATCTCCTGGCTCCTTTTAAATTTTTCTTTTATTTTTGAGCTACGGTCTGATGTTGTGCAGGCTGGCTGAAGATACCCATGAATGCCTGATCCTCCTGCCTCCACATCTTGAGTGCTTGGATTATAGATATAAGCTATCACACCCCCATCCCTGTCCCCAGTTTATGTTGTTCTGCAAAGTAAGCTGAGAACTTTGTGCATAGACAAGCATTTTACAAGCTGAGTCACATTCCATCCCATAATTAGAATTATTTGTAAAGTTGTTATTTCAACCTGCCCTAATAATATTTAGGAAAAATATGTATATGTGTCTTTGGAATGAACATTACTAATAATTCTTCTGAGGAATGCAATAACCATCCCAGAGGCTTTTCCCTGAGACTGTCTATAAGACTTCAGAGAAAGTATTTTTGTTCATGCTGTCACCCCACAGAAATACTTGTATTTTTTTTTATTCATTTCTCAAAATTTAACATTTGATTAATGATTTATTTTTACTTTTTTTTCATCAACAGGCTAAAAATACCTCCTGATTGTACTACTGAATTAAATCATCATGCATATTTGTTTCTCCAAAGCACCTTTGACAAACATGATTTGGTAAGCCTTTGCCCAAAATTTTCCAGAGTACATAGTCAAGTATTTTTTATGAATAGTTTTCTTTTATCCTTTGAGTTGTCCAGTGTTTATATTGCCTAACGTCAAGCTTTTTAATCATATGATTTTATTATTTTCTTAGGATAAAAAGTCTGGTTTTCCAGTAGACTTTCATAATCTGAAAAATGTCTTAATAAAATATGTAAAAGTTCTTATTTTATGATGGGTGATTGTGGTACATACCTTTAATACCAGCACTGTCTCAAAAAACAAATAAACAAAGTCCATATTTTTCTATCCATCCATTTATCTTGAGGCAGGCTTTTTTTCTGTGCAACCCTCGATGTTTTGGAACTAGCTCTGTAGACCAGGCTAGGCCTGAACTCAGAGAGTCGCCTACTTCTGCCTCCCAAGTGCTGGGATTAAATGCTTGCGCCACCACACTCAGCAGAATTTTTTTTTTTTTTAATGAGTTTCTCAAAGCATGCTTTACTGGACTGGGGAGCTGTTGTGTTTGGGGTCTTTTCTCTCAGGCATCTGAATGTTATGTCACTTCCTTGTGTGTCTTCAGGACAGAGACTGTGCTTTGTCGCCCGATGAACTTAAAGATTTATTTAAAGTTTTCCCTTACATACCTTGGGGACCAGATGTAAATAACACAGTTTGCACAAATGAAAGAGGCTGGATAACCTACCAGGGATTCCTTTCCCAGTGGACGTGAGTACAGCGCTCACCTCTTTGCTCGAGAGTCAGTTACTTTTAAGTTATGGTGGTGTTGCCTGTATCATTTTGTGTCTGTCAAATGTAAGAAAGCTTTCAATCCTGACTTCCTCTAAGCAGCATGTCTCAGATGAACTGTTTGTCAAGAAGGGCTGTTTTCTTCTTGAGATGTTGTAGGACATAGCATTATATCAAAATGAAACTAAATTTTTTACTTTTTGTTTGATTAAGAAATTGAAACTTTTATTACTGTTTCACAGTCCTACATCTTTTAAATGATTTTTACTCAGTTCTCTGTAAAAATTAATGAGGGTGTGTCTAAAATCTACTTTGAGCATGGTTGGCATTGTACCAAGAACATTAAGGGAATTCTCTGTTCTCACATGATGTCATCAATATTTTAGCAGCTCTGAGAAAAATTTGTTGGTTTTTTTTGTTGTTGTTTTGTTTTGTTTTTCCAGAGGTTGTAGTTGTTTTAAAGAAAACCAGGCTCCACCCCAAGGAAAGGTCCCTGAAGCAGACTTTAAACATTTTCTCTTTCTCATCTCTCTCCACTACCTCTCCCCAGCCCCACCTTCTCCTTTTTCCTTGCCCTCTCTTCTCCCTTTTCCCCTCTCCCTCTTTTTCTCTATCTATCCTCCCTCCCCACTAGCTCCCTTTTCTTACTTTAACAGCTGAGCCATCTCTCCAGCCCTATCTCCTTTTTTCTGAGTCCAGGTCTTACCTTCCTAAGCTGTCCTAGAGCTTACTCTGTAGCTGAGATTGACCTTGAACTCCTAATCCTCATAAATAATTGGAATTTCACGCTTGTTTTATGTGCTGATAGGGATCATGCTAAGGATTCTACCAACTAAGCTACATTCAAAAGTCTTTCAACCCCCTAAGTATATAAGAAGGACCTAGTTCGGGTACATTCAGTGGGTAGTTTTTGCTTTTCTGTCAACTCTTTTCAAATCAGCGTAGTTTTTGTCTGGTCAGTGTCTGTGGGACGTTGTATTAGCCTGGGACGCAGGTTTTCCGTTGTCCCAGCATTCAGCTTGCTTTCTGTGGCAGGTAGACTAGAACTCACCCATATCCTGTACTATGGCTGGAGAGGCTGGGGAAATGGCTCAGTTGGTAAGGTGCTCATGTCAAAAAGTACAGATAGGGCATGCACTTATCATTACCTCGGGGAAGGTGGGGACAGACGGATGGATCCCTGAACCTCATTGTTCCTCAATGAGGACCAATGGAGAATTCTAGGCTAGTGAGAAACTCTCTTGAATACAAGGTAAGCAGCTCCTGAGGAATAATAGATACTACAGATTGTCCTCTAGTCTGCACTCATGTGCTCACTCACCTTTACACTTATATACATACAGACTCATGCAGTCATAAAAAACTATGAAAGCAAAGCAGTGTGACAAATATTATCTGGCCTGGTGGGTAATTTTTCGAGTTAGTGGAAATTTTTTTTTCTGTGAGTGTTCACTTAAGACATAAGCCTTGTAAACTTCCTGGTTTTAGGCTCACAACCTACCTAGATGTACAGCGTTGCCTGGAGTATTTGGGCTATCTAGGATATTCCATACTGACGGAACAAGAGTCTCAAGCTTCAGCCATTACAGGTAAGCGCATGGATGCCATCCAGCTCATGACTCTAAGGAGAAGGGAGTGTCGCTCAGTTGGTAGAAGGCTTACTGTGGAAGGCACTGACTGGGTCTTATCCCTGCATAATCTGGGAGTGGTGGTGCACACCTGCAATGATGCCGGCAAAGTGTACGGTCATTCTCAAGTCCAGATTAAGGCCAGCCATGTTCTGAGACCAAAACATAACAAAAACGAGACTGGGCAGATGGCTGTTGCAGAGGACCCCTGTTAGTTCCTCAGCACATACATGGTGGCTCACAGCTGTCTGTAACTGTTCCTGGGGATCCAGCATTCTCTTCTGACCCCAGTGGGCACCAGGCATACACGCACATATACAGGCAGAACATTCATACACAAACTTTTGAAATTAAAAACAAAAGCAGCATTTTTGAGCACAATAGCTGTGGCTATTTACACAGGACCTGCATGTGGTCGGTACCATCTACTTCAGGGGCTTACAGGGCCTCACCCTCTCAAGAATGTAGAGGTAGGTCATGGGGGATGGAAAAGACCTTTTTTTGGTTTTGTTTTTTTTAAGATTTATTTATTATGTATACAGTATTCTGCCTACTTGTACACCTGCAGGCCAGAAGAGGGCACCAGAACTCATTATAGATAGTTGTGAGACACCATGTGGTTGCTGGGAATTGAACTCATGATCTCTGGAAGAGCAGCCAGTGCTCTTAACCTCTGAGCCATCTCTCCAGCCCAGAAAAGACATTTTCTTGAGTGGTGTAACCACTGGTAAGTGGTGTGATGCCTATCCCTGTAAATAACCCCTCATATTCCTATTAGCAACCCTAATGGGTCAGTAAAAAAGACATAAAAAAATGGGGCTGGACAGATGGCTCAGCAGTTAAGAGAACTGGCTGCTCTTCCAGAGGACCTGGGTTTGATTCCCAGCACCCACATGGCAGCTCACAACTGTCTGTAATTTTAGTTCCTGGGGATCTGATACCCTGACACAGACATACATACAGGCAAAACACCAATGCATATGAAATAAAAAATAAATTAATTTTTAAAAAATGATATGAAAGACTGGCAGGAAAGGATCAGCAGGAGTGGGAAAGAAACGAGAGTAGAGTAGTGGGGAGGGGTGAATATCATCACAGTGCATTATATACATGTGGGAAGATGAGACCTGTGACTGTAATAATTGATATATGCTAATATAAATGCTTAAAAAGGATTCAGTTTTTTTTGTTGTTGTTGTTGTTTATCAAAGGGGAGAAGGTTTTTGCTTTTATTCTCCTCACCAGTGCTCCAATGATGAACGTGAGGATGAAATCATTCTCAGCTAGTAGAGATTTGGAGGCCAGTGTAGTCCACATGAAATCCTGCCTCAAACTCTCTCCGCCCCACCCCACTTCCAAAAGAAAGATAGGTGTTTTATTGTGCTGATTCTACAGCTCTGTTTGTTTTCTTTTGTTTCCTCTTTTCTTTTTTAGTTTTATAGATAGTGGAATGGAGGCTTACTGAGCCTTAGTGGTACATATTTATGTTGTGTGTTTTTTGTTTTAGTAACAAGAGATAAAAAAATTGACCTGCAGAAAAAACAGACTCAGAGAAATGTGTTCAGGTGTAATGTAATCGGAGTGAAAGGCTGTGGGAAAAGTGGAGTTCTTCAGGCTCTCCTTGGAAGAAACCTGATGGTGAGGATTGTCAGAATGTAATTTATTCTAACAAACATTTATGGTAATAGGTTTACAAAAGTTTTCATAGGCATTATCCTCTTTAGGTAATTATTAGAAGTCATTGGTATGCAGTCATTTAATCCCTGTGGATTTTCTAAAAGATAACACCAGAGAAGCAAGATAGAAACTTATTGTTACTTTGTTTGTTTGTTAAAACAGAATCTCACTAAGGAGCTTACACTGGCCTGAAACTGGTTACATACCCAAGGCTGTAGGCTCAGACTCCAAGTCCTCAGTGTAACTATTGCTACTATTTAGATTGTATAGCACTAATGTACAGAGTAGCATAAAGTTTGTGTATCAAATGAGTGTTGATACTTAGTTCTGACTATTCCCTTCACTAAGAACACTGATTTTATTTACAGATGGTTTTTGCATGAGACCATATTGCACTATGAGAATTGCCAGCAGATGGCTCCAGAATCACTCACTAATCCTGTTTATTCTACAGCTACTGCTTTTACATTATGCAAACTAAATGTAGTTTTAATCTAAGAACCTCAGAACTAAGAAGTATAAAATCAGTATCCTGTTTTTGCTGATAAATAGCAATATAAAGCGGAACGAATGTGTTTTTGTTTGTAACCCACCCACACATGAACAAAGGTGTGTGCTGAAGAAAAGAAGTTTGTTAATGTGTTATTCTAAACATTGAGGTTTTTGGTTCTATTTTTAGAGGCAGAAGAAGATCCGTGATGATCATAAGTCCTATTATGCAATTAACACTGTCTATGTATATGGACAAGAGAAATACTTGTTGGTAAGATTGTCTATGATACTGGGTACATTGTTAAAAAGTGAGGCACAAACTAGCTTTCATTTAATGGCTGTATGTCAAGTGTGTGTGTTACTTTTCATTTGCTTTACTCATTGGGATGTTAATTCTACTGATTCTTGTGATGATTAGATGGTTATAGATAAAGTTAGGAATTAATTTGTAAACTTAATTGTATGTTAGCTACCCCATAATAAGAAACTCAGACTGAAGGGAAACAAAACAAATCCAACCTCCCCTTTTTATTCTGCCATTTTGATTGTAGAAATCCACTGGTGGGGGGCTAGAGAGATGGCTCAGCAGTTTAGAACACGTGCTGCTCTTGCAGAGGATACCAGTTTGATTCCTTGCACCTACACCAGGCGGTTCACACCGCCAGTAACTCCAGCTCCAAGGGATCCAGTGTCCACTTCTGGGTCCTCATGCACAGGCGCAAACATTCACGCTCACACACACTGGCATTAATGCACACATACATGCTACCACACAAATCTGTTTGTCATATGGGGGCGCGCTTGTAGGCTTGGGCGGCCTAGAACTCACTGTGTAGACCAGGCTAGCCTCAAGCTCAGGGATCCACCGGCCTCTGCCTTTTGAGCACTTTTTTTTCTTTAAAGTCACTATTGGTGAGGTGGCATCAGTACTTGCCACAAAACCTGATGGCCTGATTTGATCGCTGCAACCTACATAAAGATGGAAGGAGGAAAAACAGCTTCACAGAGTTATTCTCTGACCTTCACATACAACATTGATGTGCCTTCCATGTGAATAAATAAAAAGCTAATTGCTTCAATATTAATTTTAAACTCTAATGTTATAGGCTAGAAATTAGCATGAAACCAGTGTTGGTGCTTGGTAGTTTATCTATAATTTGAATCAAGTTTATGTGTTCATCAGGGGATTGTATAGAAGTATAAAGTATATGAAAAAAGAAAAAAATAGCAGTGAAATACAGTAGAAAGGTTATGCTTTTCTTGGATGCTGTGATTTCAGTTTCAGACTTGGTTCATAATAAATTAGCTGTGTGACTTCAGGAAGCTGCTTTTTCTAAGTCAAATTTCTAACCAGATTAGATCCTTATGGAATGCTCCTGACAACCAAGTATTAATAAATCCCATGCATGCAGCCAGGTGTGGTGGCACACACCTTTTAATCCCAGCACTCGGAAGGGCAGGTGCAGATGGATATATGAGTTCAGTACAGAGCAAGTTCCAGAACAGCCAGTGCCATCCAGAGAAACCCTGTCTTGGAAAACAAAAACAAAAAGGAAAATATCTATACTTTGTTTTTTCTCAAAGAATAGTTTCTCAGATAATCACATTGAGCAAATATCATACATTTTATGATGTTATAATATTTTACTCTTTCTGATAAGGGTTTTGTGAGTTTGTTATTTAATCTTGTTTGTCTCACATAGTGCTAAATATTCATACTCACTAGACATTGCTGACTATTAATATTCTCATGTTCTTTGTAAATCGTATTTTGTGTTTCAGGCTATGCATGCTTTTATAATGTTTTATTAGAAATTTGTCAAGTTACTTTTATATTGGTATTATGGTTCTAAGTTTCTCATTATCTTTTTCTTTTACAAGCTGCACGACCTCTCAGAGTCGGAATTTCTGACTGAGGCTGAGACCATTTGTGATGTTGTATGCCTGGTATATGACGTCACCAATCCCAAGTCCTTTGAATACTGTGCCAGGATTTTTAAGGTTTGTTCTTAGGCCCATACCTAATTATAACTTTATATAGGGTTTTAAGGATCTGCAGTATGGTTTTTCTAGTCAGAAAGTGCAACAGAATAGACTGAAGAGTTGTTTTAAAAATATATGCATCTATGTACCCTATCCCTGAAAAATCCTCATTTCATTCTATAGTAGTAGAGTCCTGATCAAAGGTAGTGACACGTTTCTATCTACATGTGACTGTCATGCGTGTTCCTAATGGAGAACTTTTGCATTAGTGGAAGATCTTGGCTGTTAGGAAGGCAGATGCATTATATATATTGCCGGTCACCCAAAGAATGAGAGCCAGAGCAAGGGCTGCTTGCAAGGTGTATCATTCACTTTGAGATTGTCAGCAAGAGTCAAGAGGAGGAGAAAGCTATGTGAACAAAACTATTTATTCTAGCTTTGTTTTTAATGTCAAAAAAACCTCAGGTATCTTAACAGTTGACAAATGGTTTTCTAAGGAAGATAAATATCAAGGCCTGGAGAGATGGCTCAGAGATTAAGAGCACTGGCTGTTCTTCCAGAGGTCCTGAGTTCAATTCCCAGCAACCACATGGTGGCTCACAACCATCTATAATGAGATCTGGCATCCTCTTCTGGTCTGTAGGCAAAAATAAATATATTTTTTAATTAAATTAAAAACAAAAAAAAAAAGATAAATATCTAGTAAAATAGCTGGGCCATGGCAGCATATGCCTTTCATTCTAGCACTCTTGGGAGGCAGAGGCAGGAGGATCTGTGTGAGTTTGAGGCCAGCCTGGTCTACATAGTGAGCTAACTGCAGCTGCTAAATATAAATGTATGTGGTAAAAGATTAGAGATACCATAATGAAAATGACAGTTTTTAGTATAGAAAATAGGTAGATATTTTAACATGTTAAAAATTACAGTGACTCAGCCTGGCACCAAGGCACACGCCTGTAATCTTAGCACTCTGGTAAGCAGAAGCAGATCTCTGTGAGTTCAAGGCCAGCCTGTTCTACAAAGCAAGTCCAGGACAGCAAAGGCTACACAGAGAAACCCTGTCTCAAAGAAATAAAAATTTAAAAAAAAATTACAATGACACATGAAAATTAGGTTTTGTTACCTATACAAGAGAAGCAGTCCTTGTCATGCATAACCACACTTTGTTTTCTTCCGTTGGAAATGCAGTCGCTTTACTTGTCGAGGGGAGTGTTTAAATATTAACCTTTAAACTTGCCATCAATATTTGGTTTCATTTTTTTTTTTTTTTATTCCATAGCAACATTTTATGGACAGCAGAATTCCCTGCCTAGTTGTAGCTGCAAAGTCAGACCTGCATGAAGTCAAACAGGAACATAGTGTATCACCGACAGATTTCTGCAGGAAACACAAAATGCCTCCACCTCAGGCCTTCACTTGCAATACTGCGGATGCACCCAGTAAGGATATCTTTGTTAAACTGACAACAATGGCCATGTATCCGTAAGTACTTGCTCTGTCTTCATTTTCCTGTCGCCTGGTTCACAGTAACATTGCATGCCATTAGCCATGGGGCTCTTTGTCACATAGAAATGGTTCAGCAACAGAAAGAAACTTTGTAATGAGAAGGGATAAATTTGAGCAACTGCAAGTTTGGTTTGGTTTGCAGAAATGATAGAAGCAGTGCTTCTAGAGTACTTGTGTACTTTTTGAGCAGGCTGAAGCTGTCCTAACAGAATGGTCTGATAAAGCACAGCTACTACCCAGCATTGAACAGTAACCCTGCTGATAAACTGGGGCTGACATCATGTTGCTCTATGCTTATAAGACATTTCCACATGAACACAATTTCATTTTTAAATTTTCCTGTTGATTAAATGACCTTTCGTGTGTGCTGAATCCTAAAGTCTTTTGTGAATTTACATTGAACTTACATTTTATGTTTGAATTCAAGATTTGTCACTTTTGAAGTACTATAAAAAGTTACAAGTGGAATGTCCACTATGTAAATATTTTGCAGTGTTATAGACATAAATTTCATGTACATTTATTATATTTATACATGCATATGTGCAGCATATTACTATGGTTATTTTCATAGTTTACTAACTGCCTTAAAATTGCATGATCTTAATGACATTCTACTCAGGTAGTGTGTTTATGTAAGTCCTGTTTTATAACAAAACAGCTTTTCAGGCAGTGCGTTTCTCAATTCAGAGAATATTCTGTTTATTATTGTTAGTCTTTAAGTCATTTTTCTTATGAAAACTAGAATGGAGAATAATCAACAAAATATTTAAATACAACAGTAATAATTAAACATTGTTGTAAGCAAAGATTGACACTTTCCAAAAGGTGTTAATTTGTATAGACTTCTGAAGTATGCTGGTGTTCTCTTAAATACTTTTTTTTTTATAAAAGCAGCAAGCCTTTGACTTTCTATTTGTATTGGAAGACAAATCATTCCTATTAATATAAGATTTAAAACCCTTATTTCTGTTTTACCTTTGCTTTAAAACTCTCATATATGTTATCTACAGAGAGGATCATTACAGAGGCAGCCTCTCCCGAGACATGGGCAGCACTGATAGAATAGAGAATTTGAGAAAAATCTGGGTCTTTCTAAAAACTGCTTTGTAAGTTATTTTTTCTTTATGATTCTGTGGGATCTTGTTGACATTTTCTTATAGGGTGGCCAAATCTCCTTCCTTGCTGTTAATATGTAGAAATCTCTAGAAACGCACTGCTTGGTCAGACCCCTGCCTAGCTGTAACTATGTCAACTATTGCCATCCCTGCTATGCCAGTGTACCTCTTCAGCCGCATAGGTAACTGCAAGTGTGACTAGAGCTGTGTCTCTAAAGCACGTTATGCTGACTGTGTGTGTATATATGATAAATGTACATATATGGACACTTCTTATGCAGTTGATACCGAACTACTTCTCATGAAGCATCTCCCTGTTGCTCAGCATACTTTCCATCTCTCCTTTTTGGTGGGTGGAGCCTTGTGGATGTGGAAGAGTCAGATTGAGTTTATAAAATCACGGATGGATTCCAGTATGACAGCTGGCAGTGTCTTGGTACCAGTGACACAATTTCTCATCACAAGCCAGGTTTTTAAAAGAAATGTCTTGAGCACTAATTCTCAAAATTGATTCTTGTTTTTCTTCATATTGAGAGTTAGGCACTTTTGAGATGCTGCTAGTGTCTACAACCACGCCACCGTGTGCTATGGTCTCATCAGCTCTCACGAGCTAAGCCAAAGCAAACTGGGCCAGTCCTTTGACTGAGAAGCCTCTGAAAATGATCAGATGTCACAAGAAGTGATGGCATTAATTCATCCAGTGGTCCTCTTCTCAGTGGGTTCTGCTCCAGTCGTACCTCGTCATGGGTGATATGATGGCTTTGTTTGTCTGACAACTGAGCAGTCATTAAAGGCCCCTGCACTGGAGTCAGGGCTTAGAGGAAGAGGGTCACCCCATGTGCCTGCAGTAACCAGTGAAACTCCACTCAACCAGAAAGGAGTCAGAAAGCCCTTCAATTTAATAACTAATTCAATTGGCTTACTGTAGATTTTTACATCCTTACCAGAATCTCATCCATCATACTTAGAGCTGCTGATGGAATTAACCCTGTATTTCTTCTAGTACAAATTTATGAAGCACTCTGATTTCCTTTGGGAGCCAGGGTGCTTGGTGAATTAAAGATAATGTTGTTCATATCTTTTCTGGGTTGGCTTTTGTGCATTTGCCACCTTTTCCTTCCTGGTTTTCAGGCATGTGTGTATGCTTGGGAGGAGTAGGAGGAGGGAGTGCTTATTCAAATGTTAGCAAACTTATCCTTTCAGTTGGTGCTGTGGCTTACTCAAGTTTTATTTTATTAATTTAGATGAGGGTGCCATCTATTGCTGTGCATATTTATTCCACTAAGACTCATCAATAATGATTCCATCCCCCCTCCAATATTTTTTAAAGTGTTAGCTAATATTCCCCCAGATTTTCTATAGGGAGGGAGGAGAACTATTCTTACTATGTTTTCAGCAAATGTGGAATTCTGCACAACTTTAGCATGCCCCACACTGCCCTTTTCCTTTCTAGAGTGTTGCTTATGCCTAAATCTTTCTTTTTTAAGTTGGCACCCTTGACTTGTGCCATATTTGCGAGTAAGAACTCAACCCTGTCCTTCTGTGTGTTTTCACAGCCATGCCCGGTTACGCTGTATGTGCACCTGCAACAGGTGTACATTTTGCATCTGTCAGAACTTCCTCAACTCAGACTTGCTGCAATCTGTAAAGAACAAAATCTTCACTGCAGTTCTTAACAGGTTCTTAACTTTATTTACTGGGTACCAGGCATTCTGTTAAAATACAAAAGAAAAAGTGGATAACTATTTATTATAGAGCTATTCACCTCAGAGGCAACATGCCAACTGACCCCCACTAACTCCCACTGAAAAGCTCAATGTGGTGACAGTGTTTAGTTTGGGAAGCATCATTGGTAATGCTTTTTTTTTTTTTTTAATTAATAGGTCTATTTGGGTAACCATAAAACAAGATTTTGAGACTTCTTCATTACAAAAGTAGTTATCTGCTCCATTTTAGGAGATAATATGTAGATGGATATTAAAATCTTTTGGGTGTGAGCTGTAGACCAAGAGGACTTTTGTAGTAAGGAAAAAAGATGTGTCGCTCCAAAATGAGAAACATTATACTGTAGTTAGTTCATGTTCCATGATATATCGCATGTAAACCATATTAATATGAACCAGATTCTCGATTCTTGAAACCATTTATAATTCTAGTATTCCTTTTGGAAAAGAAGTACCTGGAAAGTTTACTTGAAAGCACATGGTTTCTAGAAATGAGAGTAATAATCAACTTTAAAGGCTTTAAGGAATATGGAAAGGGGTGGGGAAAGCTGTAGTGCTGGATTCTGAGCCCTTCTTCCCCAGGTTTGTTAAACTTGTTTATTCCAAACAGACAGATAAATGACTTTTAGAAGTCACTCTTAGTGAGCTAAGCTCTGACAGAGCCCTTTAAAGTAATCTGTTCTTTCAAAAATGAAGGGCGGGAGGTATGCATTCATTCTCTCAAAGCAATGACCTTTTCCTTATTCTGATCATTCTACCCTTTTGTAAATCAGTGGTTTCTTAAAATTAAAAAAAAACCTATGTAATATTAGTTTTTTTTATCTTATTCCAAAGGATGAATTTTGTTTTTTAAATCATCTATATACAATTAAGAGCTAAGCTTGATTAAATAGATGATGAAGCTAATAATAAATTTGGTTTAAAATGGCTCTGCTACTTGGTCCATCCTTGAATACTCTAGCTACTATTTATATCCTACCTAGACTCCAGTTGGATTAAATATCTGGTATGTGGCCACCACCAATGTAGTAGCTGAGCCTATAGAATGCTGTTTGCCAAGAGTTGGAGGCTAGTTTTAAAGGCATCTGTAACTGCTCCATGGTGCTTTGAGCAGTAGCAGCTCCAGAATAAGAATGTAGCCCCTTCAAGAACTACCTTGAAAGGATTACCTTGCTCTCTTGGTAGTAAAGTTCTTCTTCTGTTCTTGAACAGCATCTTGTAAAGGAGTAACCAGACCCAGACTCACCATGGTGACTGACAGAAATGCAAGGCTAGTTCAAACCAAACAAACCTAGGAGCTCTGGTGTTAAAGAGTCTGGAATTCACCTGCCTAATCTCAGGAGAATGGCTCTCTCTGCATGGCTTCCTGAGAGAGGCTTCTATTTGCTTACGGCTTTCCTTTTTGGAGTGAGATTTTGCTTTTGCTAAACAGTTTCCTGAAGATTTCCCTCTGCCCTTTAGGACAGCATATACACACTCTTCCTCGCCAACAGAGCAATCTTCTGACATTCTCTTCTCCAGGCAGAATTAGGTCATTTTAGTGACCTCATCTTTCCTGATTGGCATCATCTGAAATCCCCATAACTTAGCAGGTGCCACCAAAAGTGACTCCAGGTGTTGTCTGACCAGTCTGTACTGTGAGCAGCCATGTTCTACACATGTTCAGCACCCAGCTAATACATGACCAAAATTTCTAGTAGCCCATCCCACTGTTGACATACATTATTAACTGGGGTTAATAGAAATCAGATCTTTTCTTCACATGAAGTACTGTTAAGGCAAATGTTACTGATAAATAATATTAAAAGGAGGGAGAAGTAGACAAGCCATAGGGAAGTCTGCCAATGATAGATGTAAAATTCAGTTAGCAAAACATACATTCTTGAGCCAGGTGTGGGGGCATACACCTGTAATCTCAGCACCGGGATGCTGAGATAGGAGGATCAGGAATTTGCTTACATACCAAGTTGGAAGCTAGTCTAGGATGTTTGAGAACCTAGCTCAAAAAATACAACAATGTAAAACAATAGTAAATAATAAAATTTAAAAACTAGTGTATCATTAAGCCGGATGTGGTAGCACACACCTGCAATCCCAGTATTCAGGAAGCTGAGGCAAGAAGATCTCAAGTTCAAAGTCAGCCTGGTGGTTTGCACAGTAAGTTTGAGGTCTGGCTAAACTCCATCCTGAGAACCTAGCTTCAAAAAAACAAAAACAAAATAAATACATTTATTATTATCTAATATACATTGTATATTTTGCCTAGTATACATTGCATATTATCTAGTATATTATTACCTAGTGTACATTGTATATTATTACCTAGTATACATTTTATCTTCATATCCATCAGGAGTTTCAGGGAGGGTTTTTATGAAATCAGTCTATAACTTTTTATCACATTGCCCTGCTTACCAATGGATTGTTTTATCTACTAAATAGGAAGTGATATCTGTTTGAAGTCTTATTCTTAGTGAGCCCACTTTGGCTTATAGTAATTACTGATTACAAACCACCCATTTCATTATCTGTCTGGAAACTCTTAATTGCTATCATAGCATACTCATTCATTTTCTATAACATTGGTAGCAATTTTGCCCCTAGGTCGGGTCAGTCAGTTTCCAGGTGTTTGGAGATACTTTAAGTTGATGTGCTTGCTCTATATTGCAATCTTCAAACAAGTCAGTCCTTTCTATCACATCTGTTAAAATGGGAAGTAATTTAATAGTGTCAGCACTTTTCACTAACATCTGGTAATCAAGAGTGGAAAGATGGGGCTGGAGAGATGGCTTAGCAGTTAAGAGCACTAGCTGCTCTTCCAGAGTACCCGGGTTCAATTCCCAGCACCCACATAGGAGCTCACAATTGTCTGTAACTCCTGTAGCAGGGGATCTGACACCCTCACACAGACATACATACAATCAAAACACCAATGTATATAAAATAAAAATAAGTTAAATTGCAGAGGCAGTGGGACCTCTGTGAGTTCAAGACCACCCTGGTCTACAGAATGAGTTCCAGGACAGCCAAGGCTACATAGAGAAACCATGTCTCAAAAAAATGGGGGAGATAGAAAGATGAGGAAAACCATGTATGTTTCAGAGGACTCCTTTCGTTTTTGTTTGATTTTGTTATTGTTGTTTTTTTTTTCCAGACAGGCTTTCTCTGTGTAGCCTTGGCTGTCCTGGACTTGATTTGTGGACCAGGATGGCCTTGAACTCACAGAGATCCTCCTGCCTCTGCCTCCTCAAGTGCTGGATTACAGGCGTGTGCCCCATGCCCAGCTCAGAGGACTCCTTTCTTACCTCAGTTACGACTAGAGCGTGTATTGGATAGAAGTGCAGTGAACTTCAGGGTCCTGTACTAAATCTCTTCTAGGTTACAGAAGGGTGTAGGAAACAGCACAGGTGGGGGGAAGTCACAGCTCGGTTCCCAAAGGATCTAGAATTCTAGGTGAGGGGACAGATGGAGGCAGTGCCCACGAAGGAGTAGAGACGGTGGCTCTAACAGGCCTGTCATTGGAGGCATTCGCTCTTCAGCTGTATCTCTGTGCTGTGTAGGAACTGGTGTCGGCTGCCTTTGAGATTCTAAAAAACAAAAATCAAGATTTTTATCTGACATGGCTTGGTATGTGGTATTATCCATGCCTCTAGTCTCAGCACTAGGAGGCTGAGGCAGGAGAATTACTATGAGTTTGGGACCAGCTTAAACCACAGAGTATGTTCTACTGGGCTAGAATAAGACCCTGCCTCAAACAAACAAACAAAATTGGCCATGTTGGCACCTGCCTTTAGTCCTCCAAGCAGAAGCAGGTGGATCTGAGTTTGAGTTCTACAGAGTTCCAGGCCAGCCAGGACTACACACCTCCTCTCAAAAAACAATCAAACAAAAAACAATTTGATGTGAAATTTCCCAGTAACTGACAAATATGCATTAAAGACTTTAGAAATTACCAGCACAAAGCATATTTACAAGCCACCATTTGCATTCTTAGTTTTAAGGTAAACTCCCTTGAAAATGGAGGCAGACAGAGCATGGTGTAGCCCTGACGCAGGAGATTGCAACAAGTTCAAGATCCTGTCACAAGTACTGCAGAAAAAGAGGACACCCATGGAATGACAGTGTCTCTGTTGTCATCCCACAGTTACTAATCACCCAAGAAAAAGTATCTGGACGGTGGGGTGAGAATGGAAACTTCTCCTTTTTCTCAGGTTTTGACAGTGTTTGGTGGTTAGTCATTACTGGTTTGCCATGCTAAACATATCGTAATTAATATTGTTAATATAAGCAGGAAAAAAAAGACCAGTTACTTTATTAAAAGTCACTGAAGGGCTTTTCGCTGAGCTTCGTTCCTTGAGAAGGGTTTCCACTTTCTACTAAGCGTTTGATGTAAATAGTGGGGCATGGTGGTGCGTGCATTCTCGCACACGTGCACACTCATACACAGCGCACAGGCGCGCACACACACACGCACACAAGCCAGCAAGGTTTCAATCTGCTACTCTAGAGGCAGAGAGACGGGAGGATGTGTAAGTTCCAGACAAGCCTGGCTTATGTAGTGAGTTCTAGGGCAGCAATGGCTACATAGACACATATTTCATATCTGAATAGTTTCATTTTTTTCTTTAGAACAATTATGAATAACTAGAATTGTTTGAATATACATTTTGTCTTAGTTTGGGTTTTATTGCTGTGGAAAGACACCATGACCAAGACAAACTCTTATAAAGGAAAACATTTAGTTGGGGCTGGCTTACAGTTTCAGAGGTTTAGTCCATTATCATCATGGCGGGAAACATGGCAGAGAGCAGGCAGGCATGGTGCTGGAGGAGCTGAGAGTTTTACATCTGGATCTGCAAGCAGCAAAAGGAAACTGTGTCACACACTTGGCCAGACTTGAGCGTGTGAGAGTTCAAAGCACACCTCCATAGTGACACACTTCCTCTAACAAGGCC